GGCTCCACCCCCTGGCACCACATGCGAGATGGCTCGTGCGCTCTAGTTGTTGGTAGTGGTGGTGGTCGTCGTCGGGCGCGCTACTCGTTGTTGCTGCACTTGCAATTGGCCTCCATCTCAAGCCGCTTTCACTTTCCCTCTTTCTTTCTCCCTCGCCTTTGTTTTGTTTGTGCAGCTCAGACGATCATCTTTCATCAGAGTTCTGTTTTTATAATCATTGCCTCCGTCGACGCCGCCGCCGCCACCACCGCCACCGCCTGCACTGCCTGCACTGCCGACTACACACTTTGAGTAGCGCTCGCCGTTGCCATGTCTGATCCGCCGCCGCCGTTCCACGTTTCGCGCGCGAAGCTGAAAGAATTGATGCAGTGCAAGGGTGGCGTCAATATTCCACAGAAGATTGCCGACGATTTTGGTGATATTAAAAGCCTATGGAATGGATTGCTTACCAATCCGGAGACGGGCATCAAAGGCGATGCCGATGACATTGCTCAACGCAAGGCGGCCTACGGCGTCAACGTCATTAGGACGAAGAAGCCCAAGTCTATCTGGAAGCTCATTTGGAGTGCCATGAACGACCTAACTCTAGTTACACTTATGGTCGCCGCACTGGTCTCGTTTATTCTCGCTTTTATTGCTCCGCCGGAAAAGTCAAGCGACGTCGTGGTCACTGAAAGCCACTCTAACTGGATTGAAGGCGCCGCCATTATGGTTTCAGTCGTTCTTGTCGTGCTCATAACTGCCTACAACGACCATAAAAAGGAGAACCAGTTTCAGGCACTGAAGGACCGCATTGACAAGGAGGTAAAGTGCTCTGTAATTCGCTCTGGCCAGCCGACGAACGTTCTCGTCTCCGACCTGGTTATTGGCGATGTCTGCCAGGTGAAGTACGGCGATTTGATACCGGCGGATGGCATCATTGTCGCCTCAAACGACCTGAAAATGGACGAGAGCTCTCTCACCGGAGAGTCGGACCACGTGAAGAAGGACTCCATTAACAACCCGCTAATCTTCTCTGGAACGCATGTCATGGAGGGCTCAGGTCGAATGGTGGTCACTGCAGTCGGCGTCGACTCTGAAGCCGGCAACATCATGAAAATGCTGGGAAATGTTTCCAAAACTAAAGAGGAGAAGGCTCAAGAGCGTCTTCAGAAGAAAGAAAATGAAAAGGCAAAGAAGCTGAAGAACAGGGCACCTAAAGTATCGCCCAACAGTCAACAGGCGGTGATAACCATTTCCGAGGCTGGCGATGAGGCCAACGACATTCAAATGTCAATGCTCAATGATCAACAAGTTTCGTCCGATGACCAGCCACATGGTGGTGAGGATGGTGTTGTCGCCGGAACCGGTCCTTCACACGAGCACGATGGCCCCAGTCAGGTGGAAGAATCTGACGGTGGAAAGTCGGTGCTTCAGATGAAGCTGACAAAGCTCTCCAGCAGCATTGGCTTTGCTGGTGAGTTGGGTTTTCATCTTTGTGAACATTTTGTGAAAGGTGTTTTCCACTATATAATTTCTTGTCTACTTTTTTAGGCACAATCATCGCACTGCTGACTGTTCTCATCCTCTTTACCCGACACACCATTGACACCTACCTAGTGGATAAGCAAGAGTTTGCGCTGTCCCAGCTGAACGACTACGTGAAGCACCTGATCATTGGAATCACCGTCCTGGTGGTGGCCATTCCCGAGGGTCTGCCACTGGCGGTGACCATCTCTCTGGCCTGTTCAGTGAAGCGCATGACCAAAGACAACAACCTGGTTCGCCACCTGGATGCCTGCGAGACGATGGGCAATGCGACGACGATCTGCTCGGACAAGACCGGCACCCTGACCACCAATCAGATGACGGCCGTTGATGCGTACATCGCCGCGGTGCGCCATCTGGACCGACTGCCCAAACTGGTCGACCTGCCGCACAAGGTCGCCGCACTGCTGGGCGATGCAATCACCATCAACTGTGCCTACACCTCGCGAATTACGCCCTCTGAAGTGGTCGGCGAGCCGCCAAAGCAGATGGGCAACAAGACCGAGTGTGCCTTGTTGGGCTTTCTGCTGGACCTAGGCATTGACTACCAGGCGATTCGGGAAACCAATCCGGAAGAGAAGCTGCACAAGGTGTACACCTTCAACTCGGCTAGAAAGTCCATGAGCACTGTCATTCGACTTCCCGATTCGGCTGGCTTCAGAGTCTACACAAAGGTTAGTTTTTGCCTGATTTGTCATTTGTGACTGTTATTTCTAAAACTAATGCAACTTAGGGTGCGTCTGAAATTGTCTTGAAACGGTGCACTTATATTCACGGCAAAGAGGGCAATTTAGAAGAGTTTACCGCTGAGAAGCAAGCCAGTCTGCTAAAGCAAGTTATTGAGCCGATGGCTGAAGGTGGGCTGAGAACGATTTGCGTTGCTTACAAGGACTACCGTTTCAAGACTACGCAACCAAACGAAATTGAAATCAGCAGTGAGCCCGACTGGGAGGCTGATGAGTGCATCAACGCCAACTTTACTTGCCTTGCCATTGTCGGCATTGAGGACCCCGTTCGTCCGGAGGTGCCGCAGGCGATTCGCCAGTGCCAAGACGCAGGCATCACCGTTCGCATGGTCACCGGAGACAACCTGCACACGGCCAGATCGATCGCCATCAAGTGCGGCATTGTCACGCCGGAGGATGACTTTCTGGTTCTGGAAGGACGGCAGTTTAATGAGCGCATTCGCGACATCAACGGCGACGTTCGACAGGAGCTCTTTGATCAGGTGTGGCCGCGACTGCGCGTCCTGGCCCGCTCTTCCCCCGCCGACAAGTACACCCTGGTCAAGCACATTATTGCCTCGAAGCTGAACACCAAGCGAGAGGTGGTCGCCGTCACCGGAGACGGCACCAACGATGGACCGGCGCTGAAGATGGCCGACGTCGGCTTTGCCATGGGCATCGCCGGCACTGACGTCGCCAAGGAGGCCTCTGACATTATCATCACCGACGACAACTTCTCCTCCATTGTGAAGGCGGTCATGTGGGGCAGAAATGTGTACGACTCTATTGCCAAGTTTCTGCAGTTTCAGCTGACGGTCAACGTGGTTGCTGTGGTGGTCGCCTTTGTCGGTGCCTGTGCAATTGAGGTTTGTTGCGATGGACTTTTTGTTAGATTGGGAAAGCGGTTTTAATTGTTGACCTTTTCTCATGCTACACAGGACAGTCCACTGAAAGCGGTGCAGATGCTCTGGGTAATTAGTGCACTGGTTCCAAAATTTTCGAACTCCCACCAGCACGGTAACAATACTCCCACCCACCGCCACGGTAACAATGACGTGTTCCATCCCAGGTGTCAATCAACAATCAACTTTACGCCGGTGAAGCGACACGTCATTGTTNGGTAACAATGACGTGTTCCATCCCAGGTGTCAATCAACAATCAACTTTACGCCGGTGAAGCGACACGTCATTGTTACTGTGGCGGTGGGTGGGAGTATTGTTACCGTGCTGGTGGGAGTTCGAAAATTTTGGAACCAGTGCCGCACTGCCGCTATAACAGCACAATGCCTAATCAGGTGAACCTAATCATGGACACCTTTGCTTCGATTGCCATGGCCAACGAGACGTTGTCGAATGACTTGCTGAAGCGACAGCCGTATGGTCGCAAGAAGGCACTCATCTCCAAGCGAATGGCAGTGAACATTGTCGGACAGTCTCTCTACCAGCTCGTTGTGATATTTTCAATTCTTTTCTGGGGTAAGCCGTTTTTTAGATTGGATTCAACTGCTCATTTGATCGTGAACCCCCCACTCTTTACTTCACAGGCCATCAATGGTTTGACTTTCCCTCTGCGCTGATTGAAGAGCACCGTGACGCTGGCCCTACCGAGCACTTCTCCTTCATCTTTAACGTCTTTGTGCTGATGACCATCTTCAATGAGGTGAACTGCCGCAAGATTCACGGCGAGCGGAACATCGCTGCCGGCCTGCTGGGAAACATCTACTTCTGCGTCATCATACTGGGCTCCATCATCGTCCAAGTGATCATCTTTCTGGTGCCTTTCTGCCGGTCCATCTTCCACCTGACCGCCCTCACCGGCCCTCAGTGGGGCTGGAGCGTGCTGCTGGGCGTCAGTGTGCTCCTCTGGAACCAAGTGCTCATCACCATTCCGCCGGACAGCGTCTGGGTGTGTCACCTGTGGCGGCGACACCCTGCCGTCGGCGGCGCCGTCGACCCCGCCAAGGAGCTCAAGTCGGGCAGTCGATCTCCACGAGCTGACGGCGACTACGCCCTTCGAAAGCGTGATCTCGAGGTGATTGTCTCCGAGTCGCGGCTGAACTGGTGCCGCGGCATCAAACGCATCCAGTACCAGCTGCGGGTGATGCACGCCTTTCAGGTGAGAGGTCTAGTTTCAGGTTCAGTTTCAGTTTTCAACTTTCAGTTGCCTTTGTCACTTTCAGGAGGAGATTAGCCGCACGCCGCCACTGCGCACCAAGAATGTGGCCGGCCCTGGGGGCATGGTTCGCTCGAAGACGCAAACGTCGATGCGCAGCAATGTCAGCAATAGCAATCTGCTGCAGTCATCCACTAGTCCCACTGCGGTGTGATTCAAGCCTTTCAAGGCAGCCATGCTTTCTCTCTCTCCCCTCGCTTTCTTGAACGAACTTTATTCTGTTTTCTCGCCCTTCCCCTTTCTTGCTAATGTTAACCTTTCTACGCCCCCTTAATAATCTTCGATCTCGAGTATTATTATTAATTAGATTTTAACTATCAAATACTCCTCTTGTGTCCTTGGTTTCTTTGTTTGTACATTTCACTAAACACGCTTCATTTTCACTTCATTTATTTTACCCATTCTTGACTGGTTGAAGTTGACGTTAAAATTAAAAATCGCGGTTATTGGTTTACACTTGTGTCAAAATAGTGACTGGATCAGCTGTTGGAATAGTTGCTTCTGTTGGCTTTCGATAACAGTTGTCGGCGAAAACGTTTGGCAACTTTTGGAAGTTTGTTCTTCTACTTTTGATGTTTTCTAAATTCTACAAAATCAAATCAGATTGCTGAAGCTGTTTTACAGAATGGCACAAAAGAGGGGCTCGAGAACTGATCGCCACAAGTTTGAGGACCAAAATTTCTATGCTCTCGGTTCAGGCAAGTATCTTTTGCGCAATCTTGTTTGTTGCCATTTACGAGTATGAGTTCTATTTAAATTGATAACTTATTCCACAGCTCAACAGCTTTCAAATTCATCCAAGCCAGATGTATGTGATCAAGCAGTACTAAAACAATCCCAAAAACGATCGCTCAGTCATGAAGACACTGTTCAACTCAAAATGGCAAAGCTATCCTGCCAGTCGCCCTCACAATGCCCTGTTTCAAGTATTTCAATCCAAAAGTTGACTATTCGATCACCTTCAGAAAAATTAAACTGGGAAGAACGTGCCTTTGTTGTTCCTACCAATGACTTGATAGGTCAAATTCTCAAATACGAGTCCAGTTCAAATGAAAAGATTGAGCGTCTTCTCTGCGGCGTTGCAAAACAATTGCATAACTATAAAGCAAAGCCCGACTCGATTCTAATTTTGTCGCTCATTTACATTGGCAAAATTCGACCACATATCTTTCGCTCTGACATCGTTGTAGATGCTTTCTCATCGCTTCTGAAGCGGGAGGCTCTCAGCATGCACGCAAAGATGAAGAACAGTCAGGTGCCCGTTATGGTGATAAACCTCTTTCAGAAGGCCTTTCAAGATGAGTCCTCCTGGCCGGAGGTTTTTCTAAAGTTGTACGTCGAGGATGCGCTCAATGAGCGTGTTTGGGTGGATCATGAGGAGTGCAAGGTAAGTCCTGTTATGCTACAATTATGCCCTTTGCTTCTTGATTTTAACCTAACCCCATTTTCAGGATTTTGTCGACATCATCGTCGCCTCCTTCAAGACAAGGCTCCCTCAAAAGTCCCAACTGCAGGCATCTGAAGCGTCCATTTACCACCAGAAGTCGTCCACAGCAACCTCAGAGAGCCTGTTGACGGCGCACAGTAGTGTGTCCGCCGGTGAAGAGATCATGACCGACGACGCCTCTTGCTCCAGCAATCCCTCCGCCTACTCTGACCAGGGAACGCGCATCGGCGACTCTTTGGTGGACATCAGCTCTCGCTACAGCGACAACGCCAACTTTGTCAGCGACTACGTCGGTGAGGTGATCAACGAGACGCTGGCGCGACGGAACATCAACGACGTGCAGCGAAACTTCCTCAAGCTGCTGATGGTGACGGCGGGCATTCGCCCTGTTCGCCAGCTGATTGCCCAGCGCCTCGAAGCTTGGCTCCAGAATTCGAATCTGACTCGGCTTTCGCAGGACCTGCTGCTGACCGTCTGTATGAACGTCACCGACGCCGACGTGGACATTATCGCCACTCTGCTGAGGATTCGCTTCAAGAACAAGTCTTTCCTCAATCACTTCTACCTGTGCGTAAAGGAGCTGCTGAACAAGGAGGACAACACATTTGACCACGTTCTCAAGACGGTGATCAACAACGAACTGGCCGGCGTCCGTTACCTTAACAACTTTCACCTCATCTCCATCGCCTTTCAGAACAACCCCAACCGAGCCACAGAGATGCTCGCCCGCGTCTTCCTCGGCATCATCTTCCGCAAGGAGTGCTTTCTGAAGGCGCTGCGAGCGCTCCTCCGCGAGATAGTGCGCAACCTCCACCACGAGCACATCAACTTTCTGAAGTTTGTCGAGGCGCTCTTTGACCGCACGCGAATCTACAGCGGCAGCGCCGAGTTTGCCACCGTCGACGAAAAGGTTCGCCGGCGGACGCCCTTCACCATCATCGACCTCGCCACTGAGGTCATCTTTCTCTCCATTGGGCAGAACGTGCGCGAGGCCTTCAGCACCAGTCGCTCCGATCGGAAGGAGATCATCCGCCTCTTTCAGTACCAGGTGGCGGCCATCCAGCGTGCCGGCGTGCTATGGATCGCCGACCCGCTGATGACGCGCTTCCTGGGCAACAGTGCCGACCCCGGCTCTATCGTCAAGACCTTCAACACCTGGTAAGAAAGGAGACCTTGCTTGTTTAGCCTATTGTGGGCTGTATAGTGAAAATAATACTAATAAGCAATCTTCTTTCTACAATTTTCAGCCTGAAAAAGATGCTCTTCCTCGAGTTCCACTTTGAGTGGTACTACAAGCTCGACAGCTGGCCGCCGGAGAACGACCGCGCCTTTGTGCAGCGCCGCGTCGCCGAGGTGCCGCTCCACTACGAGACCCTCGTAACGCTGCTACGCTTCGGCCTCACCAAGGGCCTACCCATCAGCCCCAGCGAGGTTTGCGACCTGCTGACGACGCTGGTCAGCCGCGCCGCCGTCATCTACCACGACCTGGACCTGCAGTACCCGCTCTACCTGGGCTTTCCCGCCGAGCCGGAGCAGCTGGTGCTGCAGCTCTTTGAGACGGCCGTCTACTCGCACCCGGAGAGCACCGTCTTCCCGCCAGGCTACCAGCCGCCGCGGATGGCCCTCCGCGACAGCCTCCTGCGCGTCTGGCTGCAGCTTTTCATCCTCGGCGCGCACATGCCCGCCACCATTGGCCTCTATTGTTGGAACCACTTTCCGCTCTTTGGCATGGCCGTAGAGATGGCCATCACCAACGCCTTCCACTACCCGCCCCGGGGCGCGGAGGAGCTGCTGGGCAAGGAGGCGGCCGCCGTGCAGGCGGAGC